GATTGCACGCCCCTTTCGGAGGGGCGGGGGCGTGGGCGTGCGGGGAAGGGGGAGGCGTGCGTTTATCAACGCCCAGGGGAAAGAACCAAGAAAGGTCTTTTTTATTTTTGGTGGTGGAGGAGATTTGATGCCCAATTCAGTCAAACCAGCATTAACGACCAATGCCATCTTGTGACAAAAGCACTTGATGTGCATTGTATTGTAATCCCATTCAATATCCTCAGTTCCCTCAAGACTACACAATTTCGAATGCATTGTTTCAGCCATCGTGTTGTTGTTTGACCCTGAATCTGTAGTCTGGCATAACATGTATTTGTTAAACAATAATTAGCACTTTGCTCTTTTTGGGTGAATTTCAAAACAAAGAAAGACTTATCTTGTTCTGAAGTTGATGCTTTTCCAAAATGTTGATGACGGGCTTGGCCAACAAGCTTCCTTTGTGGTGACAGGCAACTAACTTGAGACTCAGATGGAGTACATTGTAGTTCCAACCGTTATCAATAAAAGAGACTGATGCGCCAATAAATCCATAACGATTCCCTTTGGTTGTCCAGACATCGTGTATAAGATTGAACTTGCTATCAGAATCCTAATGTTTCAAAAACCAAAAAAAAAATTCAGCAATTTATCACTCATGAATTAACATACGGGACACACTTTTAATCGCTTGAGCATTGCGTCTTGTAAGTCCAAATACACCATCTTAGCTGAATCGGCTGCCCATTTGCGCTTGAACAAGCTGGCCCCTGCCTGACAATAGTGAAATGCCGCTTGGAGATATTCGTCTTCAACTCTATTCCAAGGGATTGATTGACGTAACAACCACAGGGTGACGATCTTGTTGAGTACGACATTATCAAACTTTTTGACTGGAGCAAAATGATGAGTGATTGTTCCAGCTTTTCCGCCAGCCTTTTTGATTCGTTCTTCATCAAGAGCCGTTGGTGGGAGCTTGGCACCAGCATTGATAGCCTCATGACGTTTGGGGCACCCGTGAGAAATCCTTCCAATTTGACGAGATCCATCACGATGAGTACGAAGATTTGAAAAACTGGTCGCTGAGACTCGGACTTCTTTCAGACACCATTTGCAGCTGTATGTTGATGGTGGTATTTCACGAGGCTTGACATAGAAGGAATGAATGAATCATCAATGTGTTTGATAATAAAAAACAAAATTTCAAAACACTTACATCATCTTTTCGATGGAATGGAGCAGAGAAAAAGTCTCTAACATTGTCAAATTCCTGGTTCTGTCTTTGACATTTTCGTTTGGCCTTTGAATTTTCTTGGTCGGAGTCTTGGGTGAGATCGATACCTTGAGATTGGCAAGATTCCGTTTGGGTCAAAGATTGTTGGGCGCCACCGTTTTTCTTTTTTGCAACAGGCTTATCTTGGGATTTGGATTTGGGTTCTGGATCTGACTGAAAAATTGTATTTTTTTGAGGTTGATTCTTGCTTGATTCCACGCGTGTATCCTCCAGAAAAGACGGCTGGTTAATTGAGCGATGTGAATCTGGTAATGGCTGAACCATGCCCGATCTCTTCATAGGCATAGTAACTCTTGAAGATCGACGCACTTGCACCTCAGAAACTTCGCTTGTGCAACCGGCTGGTGTTGATGATGGCAGGAAACTAGACTGATTAGGCATATTGACGAGCTTTCAGGAGTTGATTGAATTCTACCGGTTGAATAACAGAAGGTGAGATGGGCTTGGTGTGGGTCCCTTAGGCTTGGATGCCTGTAGGCTGGACCATAGCTCAGAGTTTGCATGTGGGTGGATAATGCATATTATTCCACCCACATGCAATATAGAACTGATACAATGGTCGGACCACAACACCACTTTCCCATCAATGATGATGAATGATCCATGGCCCAGGAACAGCCTCAGCTATTTTTCCAATCACCACATCCTCCAGTTCCATCTTTGGATCATCCTACTTCAGGAGCCAATAATTTTTTAAAGTCTCATATGTAATTTTCCCAATGTAGCCTAAGGTCAAATAAGAAATGCATATGGATTGTTAAATTCCTTTAATTCTCATTCATTTCATGTGAAATATTTGGATGGTTTTATTGAAGATACTGTCAGATAGACATGAAGTTGAGTGCTATGTAATTTAAATCTCATCACATGAGATTTTCCAAGAAATTTAACTGAAACCAATGATGGTATTAGACTGGGTAAATGTGAAATACTAAATCACCCCTCTAAGCTCTTGTCATATAATCCTTTAGAACACCTGCCTTGTGCTCAAATTGAATGATTGTGTAATATTACTCTTTGAAATAATTATTTAACATATGTTTTCATTGATATGGCCAATTGTAATCCGTAATAACAAATTCTAATTGGGATAATAATATACAAGCACTCAGTGTCACTGTGATTTACAAGGTGAAATAGAAGTTATGTGTTGAATCAGAATAATTTGGTGGTATATTATTAATACTGTTTAGTGCCCTTACTGCAATTCATCTTGAGACTTATGAGATCAATACATGATGGCTTCTTGTGAAGTGGTTTTCCGGTTCAATATTAAAATCATAACTCTTGGACTGATATATAACCCTCAAAGCATGACAATAACTCCTCATTGATACTATTACCATGACTGTTCATTCAAACTCATGAGCAGTCACATGCAGATATTCATTGATACTAAATTTACCTCCATAATTTATCACTCATGAACCATGGAAATTACTAATTAATCTACTGTCTCTTCATGAAGAGAAAGGGAATTAAACAAAAATACTCATCCTCAGTTAATCATCAGAATTTATCAAATCATTCTTCTCATGGGCCTGCATTCTTACACAGATATTGATCCTCAGTTAATCTCCAAATTCATCACTCATGTAGAAATCTGGAGTCTCAGTCATATGTGATTTACTAATTGATCCCCTGTATCTTCATTCTGATTCATTGACCATGGAATACAAATGTTTATATATACTCAGCTAATCATCAAAAATGATCAACTCACTCATCTTATAGGCCTTCATTCTCACAAATTTATTCAATTTGACACAGTTGATATTCAAATCAACTGATTCATTTATTACTAATGGAATCATTTTGTGAATTATGAGCAAAGGTCTTAAAAAGAAAAAAACATAGTCATGTAAAACAAAATAGTGATGAAAGTGGCTAACAAAGTGCTTCTACCCATACTACAAAACAAGTAAAAAAAATGATCCCCAAAATAATGTGCGACATCTGTGTACAAACCTCTTTGATATTTATCACAAGTATGAGCAAGAGTAGAGTTTATTTGTATTGACAATCCGAGACGGGTAAACTTGGAGCTTATAGAGTGTGGCATTGTGGAGTGAGTATATTTGTTAGCCTGCCATATCATTTTTACTATGCCATGCTGATGATCAAATTTAATACCAAACTTGTGATAGGGAAAAATAAAAGGACCAGATTTGATATCATATTTGGAAGAATCTACTAGAGTATAATCAGAAGTGCGAGTTGGAAGAAATAAAACAAAAGCAAATTTGGATATGTCATCCTTGTCTTTATGAGGGGGATTGAAAAATCCATTGGTAGTGAATGTAATATGGGGAGTGCAAGCGGATTCCTCTGGGGTTTCACCATACTCAAGAGATTCAAAGGCGGGAATACTATACTGTTGCATTAGATGTTGATTTTCCTCAAAAGGAGTATGAGCAAGATCCTTGAAGAGGTTCCTGATAATTTGACCAACTCTTTTCGACTTTAGATAATGATCATCATAAGCCTTGATTTCAGTTTCGGTGAAGGCCTTGATGTACCTTCCTACTATTTGATCTTCATCATAGGACTTCCTCCACCCAATGGCCCACATCAGACCACCCCATACCCTTGAACAAGAGGAAACCGAGTTGAGAAATCGTTTGGATTTGTGGAGAAAGTTTGAGACATAGTTGAGATTGTCAATCTGAGAGCTGGTTAGTTCTTCAAAGGGAGTGAATTTGATTATGGCGATTACTGAATTTTCATCAAGAGGATCCATGATTAAATTCAGTCCAGATTGGAGGAATCGGTAGTTTGATAATTTGTCAGATGCTGCTTTTATCTCGGAAGCAGTCGGGCGGCGAGTTGGTTTGTCATCGACCCAAGGGATGTCGGGATAAAGATTATGGGGAACGTTGTGGTATGTCCATACCTTTCCATGTACCCTCATTTTTCACAGCATTTTACATATATTCTTCCCATTATTATTTCATATTCAGATTCTACACATTATTTCACCCCTAGTCACCTCTTACAGCTTTTCAGTATCTCTTGTAGTTCTCTAGTTATCATCCCCTCGGTGTATTCATAGTTACAGAACAGTACATTACTTTATACATACAGTACATATACATTACACATTATATAGTTACAGTCTCTATGTAGAATCACTCATTCATCATGGTACATCACCATTACTACATACTACACTACATATTCAGCATAACCATAATTACATACATCAATCAGGATAACCTTAACTACATTACATCATGTACATATTTCCTTTCACACTGCTTTGACTTTCCATACCTGATTAACACTTGTATACACAGAACATCTGTCACTTAGCTACATTATTTCTCATCACTCATCACTGTTCAAGACTTACATTACCCATAGCCAGGATTTCCCCAGCCATGGTGCTTTACTGTTGTATGTACATGTTGTACACTTATATACTCTTTCTTCCCTCTCATGTATTTTCCCCCTCATGCTATGTACCCTGCCTGAATTATCTTCTAACCATAGTCTTAGAAATCAGAAATACTAGTATCACCCTTATATCTTTACCAGATATCTTTGCCAGTTATATTTGCCAGTTATACATCCCCCCTTGCCAGTTATAAATCCTCAATTGCCAGTTATAAATCCTCATTTGCCAGATTATTCCCCTTGCCAGTGTCATCCTCATTGCCAGTGTTACACCCTTGCCAGTATTATCCCATCACACCTCATTCCTCCTCCTCCTCACACCTCAGTAGGTACTACATACACAAGCTCATCAGTAATAGCAGTCTAAGATAAAGTAGAAATAAGCCACGCCTTTCTTCTTCTTTTTCTTAGTGTTACACTCTACCCATTAGCATTGTACAGGAGGGCAGCCTCATCAGCACCTGTAGTCTCAACTTACATTAGTACTAGTGTAGTTGTCTATATCCCCTCCAAGCTCTATCTCCCTGGTTGAGTAGTTCCACAACGTATTTAACACGGTGCCAAATGACGGATGCGCTCCTTATGCCAAGAGATGCCTGAATTTTCAGAGATTTTTCCTTTGCTTTCTTCAACTTGTTTCTTTGACTAGACGCTCTACTACTCTTGTTCTATGACTGCTTAGATTAATGTCAAGTCCGAGGGAGAATGTCCGCCCAAGATCAATTATTTCACCACCATAGTCATTATAACAATTTCATGTTGAGCACCCGCAAATATGTAAGAAGAAGAAATTAAAAGGGAGTTATGAGTTAGTATGATATTTGAATGAGGATAGAGAAGTACATACCGCTTATTCTTACCCATGACGGAGCTTTAGAATAGTTGGATTGATTGATAAGTTGTTGCTCCTAAAGAAATAACCAATCACAATCAATCAGGAACGTGTGGTGTTATGTCTTTGGTCAGTATAATTGATGAGCCACTAATCTATTGACTGACTGAAGAAATATGATTCAATTGATAAGCAATTCAAGGTGGTACAGTCTAATTGATCCGCGACTGGATTGATGATGAGAGGATTTGATCCAATTGATGTTCCTTAGATCGGTGGGGTAGGGGTAGAATGATGCGGCTGGGTCTGTCATGATAAATAATTGATGAAAAAATGATTGGCAGCTGGCTTTTGAACAACAAACAACCTTTGGACTCACTGCTGATCAAATCTGTCGCTGGCACTGGTATGATGTCCAGTTGGTCTGTGTATTCAATCCACAACTGGATCAATGAGTGGCTTCTTTGAATAGGTAGATGTGTTTGGCTTGATGGGGTTGAGGCACTTGTAGAACAATCGACTGGCTGATGCTTAAGAAATGAAGCAATCCAGTTGTTGGTCGTCAGTCTTGAACTTCAAGTGAGGCAAATTAGGTCAACAGAGATCAGAAACTTACCAGTCCAAGACTTAGACAGCAAAAAACAATCAATCACCGACAGAAGATTGTTCCAAGACAATTGATCAGTGTAGAGAATGATTGAGAGATGATCAGCAGCTGAACACAGTCCTCAGACGATCAATCGGCGTCAAAAACGATTGCCAGACAATCAGCAGCTGAATAAGGTCCAAAGACGATTGATCGGTGTAGAAAACAATCGCAAGACGATCAGAGACGGTCCCAAGGTGATTGATCCGCAATAGCAAGACTTTCAGCGAAAGAAAACAATTGGAAGACTGTCAGCGACAGAAGACAAGTGTGAGACAATCGTGAGACGATCAGCGACCTCACAGCTTAAAAATTGATTCCAAGGGAAAACAGCAACCGATCAGCATTAAAAACAAACTCATGGTGTAAAAAGACAAGCAACTCCTTGTTGTGGAGGTGGTTTTTCTGTGTGAAGTTTATGAAGCTAAGATGGTGTTGACAAGTTGAAGAGAGAAGAGAAAGATGAATTTACAATGGTGATGACAACTTGAAGAGAGAAGAGAGATG